TTCTACTATTTTAGTACTTAAATTTCTACCAGTCTCCCCTCTTATAGATAGTATTACAGTCCGTACATTCTACACCGTTAACTACTACTTTCTCAACTCTAGTCAGTTTAATTCCAGTTTTTAAGATTGTATTCAACTTTTTTTGTGTATAAAATAAAATTAGAAGTTTCTACTATTTTTCTGTTTCTTTCCACAGTCTTTTTACTGTATTTGATAAGCCAGTTACATACAGCATTACACAATAAACCAAATCAACTAAATGAAGTTTCAGTCTCTCTGTGAACTTATCAGTTCTTAAATATTTTCTGATCACACTAATGGATAATCATTCTTTTTTAACAATACATATTCCAGCTGTTTTCTGAATTTTTAAAATCTTATCATCTAACTTAATAACCTATTCAATCAACAACTTTCTTGGCATTATTTGTACAGTTGGTAAAACCTAAGAATTTGTTTTTGTGGTTAGTTAATTTTTTTATCAAATATTTCTACTTAGCAGGTAAAAAGCATGTATAAACCTTTCTTTAGCAGACAAGAAGTCCTTCAGACCTGACTCTTAATGTGGATACCTTAAAACAACGGGAACTGATTGCACAGTTAGAAGTGAAAAACAGGTAAGGAGATATTTAGAAAAATTTGAAGTCTTGTTGTGAGAGCTTCTTCTGTTGTATTTTTTGACAGTTGAAGACTTTTTGTGAATAGCAGAATTATATGAGTGCTACTTTTTAACAGAGAAATAATGCGTGAAATCATGAGGTTAAGAAAGCAACAAGAGCAGGAGGATGCAGCTCTCAAGTCGGATCAAAACCCCACCTTATTGGCCGAACTACGAGCACTACGACAACGTAAGGCAGAGCTGGAAAATCATTTGTCTAGCCTGCAGGAAAGTCGTCGTGACCTGATGGTGCAGTTAGAGGGGCTCATGAAGCTATTAAAGGTTAGTCACTTTAATATTGGTCACTCATTCATCAGCATACATCAATATTTCTTTATTTAATAAGATAATGTACTATTGGGTAACAACAAATTACAGCTGAGTGTGTGAAACCTTTCACACCACATGTTTGTAAACAAGTTATTGGGTAACAACAAATTCCAAGTCTCAGGTTTAAACTATTTGTTAACATATGTTGTGTAACTAAGAGAGGTCACAGCTGAGTGTGTGAAACCTTTCACACCACATGTTTGTAAGCAAGTTATTGGGTAACAACAAAATCCAAGTCTCAGGTTTAAACTATTTGTTAACATATGTTGTGTTACTAAGAGAGGTCACAGCGAAGTGTGTGAAATCTTTCACACCACATGTTTGTACACAAGTAACAAATCCCTCTTAGTTACAGAACATAT